ACAACCACCTCTTTCTGTATGTGTGTGTGTGTGTGTGTGTGTGTGTGTGTGTGTGTGTGTGTGTGTGTGTGTGTGTGTATGTGTGTGTGTGTGTGCGTGTGTGTGTGTGCGCGTATGTGTGTGTGTGCAGAGTAACACAGAGTAGAGTAGAGCTTGGCATTGACTCTAGAGTAGCACAAAGTAGCGTAGAGTAGCGTCGAGTAACTCAGTCGCCGCCCAGTATGTGCCCAAGAAGTAGTTTCTATATGTTGTAGAGTAGCACAAAGTAGCGTAGAGTAGTTCAGTTGAGTAGCTTAGAGTGTCGAACAGACATCGACTCTAGAGTAGTCCAGTATGTGCCCCAGAAAGTAGTTTCTATACGTTGTAGCGGCGCTGGACTGGTAGCGCATCACGCGCAAGCCCGATACCTCGTGTGGTAGGGCTAGTAACACGCTTTGGTACCGGCGCTAGCATGTGGGCCCGATACAAGGCCTGCCGCGACGCCGCCCGAGACAGTTCAACTTCTAAGAGCAAACAATCAGCAGACGATCGAGACCGTCGTGGAGTGTAAAATTGTAGGGCCCTGATCGTCTGAATGTCACAAACCAAAAAATAACGATAGTTATATATGTAGGGAAAACCCAGGTCTACTCCCGTCAGTGTCTAGAAAAAAGGCGGTCCCACTACCGCCACTACATTCGGACCTCACCTGCCGAGCCTAAGGCAAGGATGCTACAAAAAACTTCAAAGGAGGGTCCTTGCCTTTTGGTCCGTAAATCTTTTTTGAAGTCCACAAAACTGTCCTTCGAGGGACCTGTATTTTTTTTGGTCCATTTGTATCCGACCCAAGCGCGTGGTTGTCCCTCATGTCCCACATCCTATTGCATGCGGTAGTGGCATGGTGCCGCTGTCGGAGTAGAACCCCTTACAAAGGTATCTGCTCGGAATTTTCAATGTCGAGCATTGCCCGACTGTTGATGAAATTTTGTTTGAAAGATTTGACTCGATAAGAATACGGCTTTGCCAAAGTCTATTCATACATGATCGACGACCGAGAGGCTAAGACTTTTCACCTAAAGTTCTAACACTTGCAACCTGTGAGGGCGACGACGAGGATCTGTGGTGTGAGTGACTGGCCCCCACGTTTGGCGAGGGCCCACAGACATGTGTTTAGTTGAAATACTAAGTCTATACTTATTAAAATTGTGCAGCCGCGCGATTCGGGGTCTAAAGATGTACGGTTGCGGCGTAGAAAGATATAGATTATCATTTTTTTATTTTTTTTTCTTAAGAGTCATAATGTTGCGGACCCAGCCAGGGCTCGATCCCTGGTCCGCGGGTTACCACCTGCCAGGCTACTATTCTATTTTTTTTTGGAGTCTCTGATCTCTAGTTCCTGACTGTTGGCCCCCTCTGCAGTTGGCGCCCGTTCTCAAATCCCGCCTCTGCCACTTTCGGATTCCGTACTTGGCACCACCGTTGCCATCGCCAATGCGTAGGTAAGTTACCAGCAATCTTTTATTCCTTCTTCCTCTTCTTTCTTCTCCTCCACATTTCGTCTTCTTCTTCTTCTTCTTCTTCTTCTTCTTCCTCGACGTCGTCCTCCTTTTTCCTTCCTCCTCGTCTTCTTCTTCCCTCCTCTTCGCCTTCCCCCCCCGATCCTCTCTTCCACCTGCTGCCTACCCAGTCCCATTTCCCACCCTCCCGCGACTTCGCGATTCCCGCACGATCCCTCCGCCCTTCCTGACCCTGATTCCCGCAAGATTCCCCACGCGCTTCCCACTCGATTCCTCGATCCCGACTCCCCCCCCATCCCCATTCCTCGCCCTTACCCCGACACCAAACGGGATCCCCTTTCCCCGACATTCCCCCCCGCTGGGTCTTACCCCCCGACTTACCCCGACCTTGACCACGCCCAACTGCGATTGCGACTCCCCCACCTCCCTCCCCAGCTGCGCACCCCCCGCTCCGACCTTCCACCCCCGACTTCCTCCTTCCCATGCGCAACCCGCCCGCGATCCCCCGAGTTCCTGTCCCCCCCTTGCGCGACTTTCCCCCCCACGTTCCCCTCTCTATCATCATCATTATCATCATCATCATCATCATCAATCTACCCGTGCCCTACCTACTACGCTACCACCCAATCAATCGTAGCTACGATTGGTCCGCCCTCGATTTACATAAAAACTCATTTTATTATTATTATTATATATTTTTTTGGAATCCATTTTGATTTTTTTGTAAATTTGAAAATACTCAATCAACTATCTTTCTTGACATTTCTTTGTCAAAAGTATTTTCTTTTCAAAATTTTTGCAAATACGTAGGATTAATCATTCTTTTTCGTCATTTCTTCTTCAAAATTAAAAAATGATTTTAATTATTTTTTTTCAAAATCTTTGTAATTAAAAATATTTAAGAATTAATTTAAACTCTTTTTCAACATTTTTTTTTCAAAAAATATTTATAATTATTATTATTATTATTTTTTAAAATTACGAAAATAATTTTAATAAATTATTTTTGGGAATTTTTCTAGGCTACCAGAGTGGCCCGGGGTCACTTGCCCGACCGGGGCAAAAAAAATAAAAAAATAAAAATAAAAAATATATTTTTAGATTTTTTAAAAATTTTTAAATTTGGTGAAGCATTTCGATGTGGCCCTGAGGCAACGATTTTTCATGTTATTGTGCATAACATTTTTTTTTTTTTTTTTTTTTTTGCAGGGACCATCCTTGGTCCATGTGTGGCCTGGCCACCCGGGACAAGGGTGGCCCGGCTGGTAGCCTAGGAATTTTTGTAATTTAAAAATATTTTAGAATTAACTAAATTCTTTTCTTTTGGATTAATCAATTATTTCTCAACATTTCTTTTTCGAAATTCGCAACTACTTTTACTTCATTATTTTTCTTTTTGTTTTTGCTATTATGAATTCCTCAATTAATTTCAAGTACATTCAATTAATTGACGACTGAATTATTCTTTTTATTCGAAATTAATCATCCTTTTTCAAAATTTTAACATCTTCTTCTTATAAAATTCCTGCAAAATCTAAGCTACCAGAGTGGCCCGGGGTCACTTGCCCGGCCGGGCCAGCAAAAAAAAATAAAAATAAAAAATTAATTACTTTTTTAATTTAATTTTTATTCTAAATCTGGTGAAGAATTTTGATGTGACCCTACGACAAAAGTTGTTTAGTTTATTTTTCTGCATAACATAGTTTTTTTTCGGATGTTTTTTTTTTTTTTTTTTTTTTTGCTAGAACCTTCCCTGGTCCTTGCACGGGCTGACCACCTGGGACCCGGGTGGCCCGGCTGGTAGCCTAGTGCAAAATACCTTTTCAATTTCACCAGTTATTCTTAGAAAATTTAAATTACAAATTAATCTAATTCAAAATTAATTCTTGTTTGGTGAATTTTATTTGGAATTACCTTTATTGCTAAATCAATTGATGACATTCTACTCGTGTAAATACGACCCCCCCCCTCCCCCACCCCGGGCATGCCACGCTCAACCAAAAACTTTCAACGCGCAGCCGCCAACGCTGCCGCTGCTGCCGCCGCCTCCACCTCATCTGCTGCTCACGCCTCAGCCACAGCTACCACCGCTTCCTCCCCCACCATGGCCCAAACATCCAACATTGATATGTCCGACATCTGCTCCGACTCCGTCGACAGCATCGCCCGCAACCTCGCGGACGAGCA